AAATGTCCATTTTTATTTTTTTATTTTTTTTTTATTCTATCTTATCAATAAATTGACCTTTGACGACGGCCTTCAGTTGACCAATAAAAATTGGGATTCCATTTCTTACCGTCGTAATATCATGTGAGATGTCATTTGCTTAAGTAAAATAATGTGCACGTTTAGGAAGCTATATGCACACGAAATATATTTTAAAAGACTTGAGAAATAATTTTTGGTGAATGGGACATAATGCTTCAAGCCTTCTAATTGTATTTCTTCAAATAGTTAAGATCGTGCAAGTCTTTGAAGTAGCATTTTCAAATATGCAGATCACAAGTAAAGTCACATTGACAATTAAAAGATCAAAATAAATACACAAACTAAAATAAAATACACATAAATATGTCGAGTCCTGTTACTTGGTTATATCATAGAAGTATTATATTAATTTTCATTTTCTTTCCTTGCTTATAAGTTGGAGTAAAATGGAAAAGGAGTTGAACAGATTGATAATGATAAATCAAAATAAGATTGTGGATATACTGAAATGTATTTCTATACAAGAATAATATCACACAGTCTACTGTCTTCACGCTTAACCAGAAGTCCTATGGCATTGGCTTGTAAAATTGCTTTCGGGCTTGTAAAATTCTTCTCTACAAGCCAACAGAATCCAACTAAAATGTTCAAAAAATTGAGCTTCTGGCTTGTGGACTCAAAAGTTAAGCGTGAAGGCTGAATTCACAATTTTAATGTATATGGAAAGGAACATTTTAACCCCTGTTTTATGTATGTTTTACATTTAAAACAAAAGTATTAAAAGAAAACAACTTATTGATATCTTAGTCATTTTTTTTAGGAAAGCTTCAGGAAAAGCAATAAATTTTCTGAATTTATGTACCAAATAAAACCAATATGCCCCAGATAATCTTGGCCTAAAAAATTTACAAACATTTTAGGGTATACTAAATACATCAAAGGAGTAATGTGACTAATATATACTTCTGTACTATTGAGCCTTTTCAGTATCAAACCATATAAATTAGTATTATAAGTGACATATAATGTGATTTTTCAAAATAAAACAGATAAAAAAAAAATAAAAAAATATAAAATGCAATGCATTTCAATATAAAACTTTGAGACAGAATATACCAGATTCTAATATTTTCCCAAATTGGTCAACAAATAATCTTTTTTGACCTAACATATGTGCATCAAACTGAAGGTATGTAAAATGCCAGTCATACCTATTGTTTACCTAATATACCTAATCAAATAATATCCTATGTAATTAGGAATGTTGGGTAAACATCAGTTACACAAGCAACCCAACAGCACAAAAAACATTCAGTTGTCACCTAGAGAGAAATGATTAAGACATAATGCAACTCGTCTGCATTACATTGATGTTTACTAGGTGTAATTCAATGCAGAACATTTTGTTCTGTTTCCCGTACCAAATGTAATGAAGAAAAAAAAAACTATTGGTACCTGACAATTGGCTGTCAAACTTTTATCACTCAAATCTGACCAGTCTGACAATTTTAATTTTGTACAGAACCAAAGATGTTAGTATCTAAATTATTTGCAGAAATGACAAAAAAGAATATTACCAGACTCAGTGCTATCTGGTATATATTAGGTTCTAGGTGTCAGATAGAATTGGTATTTAAGGAAATCATAAACATAATGAATAAATGGAGTATTGAATCCTAATAATGCCCAAAGTGACGTCTCATATTTCTCTGTCTCTGTCTGATGGATGTTTGGATTTTTTTAATTTTCTTTTGTTTGCATTTGGTTGGTTGGTTGGTTGGGGGTTGCAAATTGAATGAAAGAGGTAAATTCCAAATATTTTTTTTCAATGATGAAAAATCTGAAGTTTTAATTCAAAATAGAAAAGTCAAAGTGTTTGGAGTGGAGTTAGTTTTCTCGTTTGAATTGTTTTACATTGTCATTTCGGGGCCTTTTATAGCTGACTGTGCGGTATGGGCTTTGCTCATTGTTGAAGGCCGTACGGTGACCTATAGTTGTTATTTTCTGTGTCATTTGGTCTCTTGTGGAGAGTTGTCTCATTGACAATCATACCTCATCTTCTTTTTTATATCAGATAATAAATCCAGAAAATATCTCGTGTGAAATTGTGAAAAATGTAACTATAAATAAATTACCACCATTTCAATGATAAGAATGATAAGAATGTGAAAGTTGACATTTTGTATTTCTGACTTTTAGAAAATCCTGATATAGTTTCTTTTATATTTTATCCCTAACAAATCAGGTGTTTTTTTTACACTGACATATGGATTAGTACTATAATATACTTCGTAGGTCCATATCGTTTGCATTCAACGTTTTTTATTGGATTTTTTTTATAGTAAAAAAAAATCCGATAAAAAGTATTGAATGCAAAAGATATGGTTCGTGATTCAGCATTGATAGTAAAAAAATAATCCGATAAAAAACGTTGAATGCAAACGATATGGACCTACGAAGTCTTATATTATAGGACTTAAATATGGATGAGACCTGCTTTTTACGTTATTTATTGTTGTGTTGAGAAACGTGACCTATTTAAATAAATAATTCGGGAAAGCCGATTTAAAATCGAGTCAAGGTCAACAATGGCTGCAGATGACGTTGGACGCTGAAAATGTTATGATCCGTCGGATGATCGTGAGACGTGGAACCAACCGACATACACTTTTCCTCCACACGTTTGCAATAATTAAAATAACATGTGTCGGTTTTATTTGATGATGGTATTTTAACGGAAAATACGCGAATATGAATCTTTATAAAGAAATCTCCGCTAAAATAAAACGAGTGCTAAAAAAATCCGTTTTTGACGAATTGACTTAATTTTTCCATAGATTTATGCAAATGAAATGTTTATTTTTCATTAAACATCGTAAAAAATACGTGTGAACATTTGTTGTAATATGTACTTAGCGAGTTTTAATCCATGATCGCACGCCAGCTCCAGGAAAAGTATCAACACGTCGAAGATTGCCAGTAAAACATTTTCCTTAACTGCATGGACCACTCTTTTTTACAGCAAATTTACAAAAATGATTTGGACAAAATTAAAAGTTTAATGGTCTTTGGTCCAGTAATGCATATCACTTAACTGGACCAAACCAAATTTTACTGGTCTTTGCCCTATGTCTGGCGACCTTGGGAATGACTGGGTCGGTGGTTCTCTTCAGGCACTGTGGCTTCTTCCACCAATAAAATCTGGCCGCTATGAAATAGCCAATTGTGTCGATAGTGGCGTTAACACACAAAAAAATCACTCAAAGTAGTATTCTAATACTTTAGAATGGAGGTACAAGACTAATACTTCAAATGTATTGTACAAATATATAGTATTGAATTTGTAATTATGTAATTATTATGGTACTAAAATAGAACAATAGTTCAGTAGATTAGTACTAAATTAGTACTTGACTATGTATGTACATTTTCAGTACTTCAAAATCATAGTACTAAAAATGAACACATGCAAAATCAACGACGACGACGGTACGGATGATACCGAGGGGAAATGTCAGCTATGACTGTAAAATTATGAAGGACCATTCGAGTTGCTATAGAGACTGGTTCAAAAATAGTAGGAATCTGGTTTAATAAGATCTTATACTCTTACATTGTTTAAAAAAGACCGATCAGCTATATGAATTCGATTGGGTTGAAAAGTAATGAGAACAACATAATTTACATGTATATTATAACATGATAAAAATAAGATGTCACGTGGTATGATTGCCAATGAGATAACTCGCCACCAGTCCAAAGGAGGAGGAATCCTGGAGGATATAAAGAACAATATGCCACCGTACGCCCGCGTAGGGTTTCAATATAGAACAAAATCCATACTGTATTATAGTATGCTCAATAAAAGGCCACGGTATGACAAAATGTGAGGCAATCAGAATAGATTCTTAAAAGCCTGAGTTATGCTTAAAACAATAAATAAAACGATAAACTAACATGGCATACAGCAAGCAGTAACAACCCCTAAAGTATATGCTACTGGTGTCATGTTTCCATAGGACACCCTGCCCATGCGTCCTCGCACTATCAAATTCCTGTTCTGACATTAAACAACGAAACTTTGGTCAAAACCCTAATTTGGCAAATATATTTAAAAGTTTACGTAATTATGTGTATTTAGTTTCAAGTTAATGTGATCACTACAATTGGTTAAAGTGTATAATTCAGTCTTCACAAAACTCTTTTAAATCTACAGGCCCGGAGCTCAATTTTTAAAAAAAGTTTAGTTAAGATTCTTTTGGCCTGAAGAGATGATTTTTATAGGCCCGAAAGCCTGTGGCTAAGCGTATCTAGACGGGTGTTACCGTGTATTCTTATGTTGTACTGTTACACCACTGTTATAGGTTAGGGGGGAGGGTTTGGCGCCAGCAAAAATTATTTCAATATTTATTGTAACATGTTTACAACCGCCACATTCTGTATGTGCCTGTCCTAAGTCAGGAGCATGTAACTCAGTGGTTGTAGTTTGTTGCTGTATATATCAATAAATAATCATATTTGTTTTTCATTTATTGTTTGTATTAAACATAAATCAAACCGTTAGTTTTTTTCGTTTGAATTGTTTTACATTTGACATTTATCATTTCGGGGCCTTTTATAGCTTACTTTCACTGGAAATCATACCACATCTTCCCAATTTTATATTGTGACCATTCTGCTTCTTGTGGTACCAAGTTTGTTAAAATCGAACAAGGAAATACTCATGATATTTAGTTTTTTAATGCTGTAGATCCCAATTTTGTCACTCAGTGGCAGCTATTTCATACTTATTTTAGGACGTAATGCTTATAAATAAAGGATTCAGCTACTGATTGACGCATATTATCAAGATTTAATAATAATATTTAGTAGATGACCTTTTTGGCATCTCACTCTAATCAGTATCAGTGACCCCAATTCCGACAGTTCATTTATCTTGCTGTGCACTGGCAATCTACATTAAACAACTACAAACTTACTTCAGCTGCCCGTCTCTCTTCGTCATATGACGAATCTTCAGCTTGCCGTTTCTCTTCGTCTTCAGCTTCCCGTCTATCTTCTTCATATGATGAATCATCAGCTGCCCGTCTCTCTTCGTCATATGCTGAATCCTCTGCTGCCCGTCTCTCTTCGTCAAATGAATCATCCTCTGCTGCCCGTCTCTCTTCGTCTGATAAATTTTCAATTGAACGTCTCTCTTCGTCATCCTCAGGTGAACCAACGCTCAGTTTCTTTCTGAATAAATCTACTTCGTCTTCGACATCTCGCTTTACAATATGACTTAGAGTCTCTTGTCCTGCAATGCTGTCTGCTTGGACACTTACATCTGCAATTTAAAAGCAGTTATGAAAGATCCGTACGCAAAATTAATGAATATTTGCATTGACAATTTCAGTGGTCAATGAGACAACTCTCCATCCAAGTCACAATTTATAAAAGTAAACCATTATAGGTCAAAGTACGGTCTTCAACACGGAGCCTTGGCTCACACCGAACAGCAAGCTATAAAGGGCCCCAAAAATTACTAGTGTTAAACCATTCAAACGGGAAAACCAACGGTCTAATCTATATAAGAAACACTTATGAACCACATCAACAAACGACAACTACTAAACATCAGATTCCTGACTTAGGACAAGTGCAAACAGTTGCAGCGGGTTTAAACGTTTTAATGGTACCAAACATTCACCCTTACTCTGAAACAATAGTGTAACATTGTTTTTATAATACCCCGTTCTAGATAGTCAAATCTGACCCCTTCCAATGCAAGGCGAAAAAAACATAACCCCATTTCAGACAATTTAGCTGAAAATGCAACCCCGTTTGTCGGAACATACCCGGTATCATATATATAGCGAGTATCCCCCGGGTAGATGTAGAATGGCCGTTGGTGAAGTGTCACACAAAACAACCATTTCATGTATAGATTTACTTACCGCTTTGGTTGTTTAAAAAAGGTGTCCAAGTCACCCATCGGATGGGGGAATCAGTATAAAAGAAATCAGAGTATGTGTTTAATTAATGAATATGATAAATTGCCATATTCAATACAATATAAGCAGATAACGATAATTTTTTTTTTTTTTTTTTTTTTGAAAAGGGGGGGCGTACGCCCATTACGCCCTTACCTGGACCCGCCCCTGAATTATTACTTGGTACTAGAAAAAACATTAAGTCAAGGATTATCCGTAATATATGTGTAATTCAGGTTTCAGACAGGGTATATAATGTGACATTCCCGGCCTAGGGGTTATATCCCCTTCGCCTTCGGCTCAGGGAATATAAACTCTAAGCCGGGAATGTCACATTATATACCCTGTTTGAGACCTGAATAACATATAATATTAATAGTAGATCCATTTCACACAATTTTATATTAAGTACATCGATATTTGCACTTGATCATCTAGTCTTCGGTAACCTTAGAGACCTCTCCCAATTTCCCTATTATTTCATATAAAAACTTTTTTTTTTAATTTTCAAAAACTAATTTGAGGTCCGATTTGACGAAATTTTTAATATCAAACTAAAAAATGTGTACAGTTTTTTATGCTTATTATGAAATAATTTATGACATGTCATTATTGAGAAATCTTTATTTGTAGACAAATATTGAAATTAAGTGAAGTTTTTTCCTATATAGCCATTATGATTATGTCGTGCAGTGATTTCCCTATAATAAAAATCATTAATGTATTTCTGTTTTTCATAATTATTGCAAGAACCTGCGGACGTTTCTGTATTTAATGAAAAAAATCATTCCATTTGGACAAGAAATAACTTCAGTAGAATTTTTATATAAAAAATGTGTTTTTATATGAAGTGATAAGTGAATTTCCGATTGTGAAACAATTTTGACCCAAGACTGTACTAATATGTACTAATATGCAGCAAACCACATATTTATAGAGAATTTCACAAAGACTGAATATCAGGCCAGGTATAGGTTTTCTCAAGTGAGCATTGAAGTTTTAAAAAACTTGTCTTTTGGTCAGTTAAAAAGATCTACCCACAGAAGCCATTCGCGGCATTCCAGTTGGCACACAGATCAAAATTACTCTAAGATTTTACGCTTTATAAGAGAAGTTTTTGAGCTATAGGGCCATTTCCTTTTAATTACATAATTACCTCTATATTACTCGGCTATTTACTACCACGGATAAATTTAATACGATTATTTGCAAACAAATACCAGACAAGAAATAGAAAAAAAACAATCATTTATATGGTAGAGTTAAATATGAACCCTTAATTAGTTTCGATATAATTACACCAGTTGCTATGCGTTCTATCAGGTTCGCGGTTTCCTTCGAGGTATGAAATAATTGCTTCAAAACTGAACTCAAGACATGATTTATTTTTGTTTTTCTTTTTTAATTAAAACCATTTCTATATATATACAACGGTAATATAACTCGGAGGATTAGCTAGCTATAAAATCAAGTTTAATCCTCAACTATCGGAAAATGTCTGTACCAAGTCAGCGGATCTTTTCACGAAAAATCTTAGATGTAAAAACACTCGTAATTTATACACATTTCAGTATAACTTACGATCAATTTTAATCGTAAGATTTTTTGTGAAAAGAGTCTCTGGTATATAACAAAAGCGCTTGTGTGAAAGGACCACCCTTTTCTATATATTTTTTTGCGTTTAAATTTTTTAGTTAATATTCCTTAAAATACTTTTAACTTATTTCACTTATTTAAGGTGTTCTTCTTATCCATACAATTTTACAATGACAATGTCACAGTTGTTTATATATAATGCCCTTTATTCTTATTATATAATACTTAATGCTCAACTTGGCAGGACATAATGTATGATTGATTGAGTGCTCATTACTTAAATACGGAAAATATATGCAATATGGCCCAGTCTTCACCATTAACTTTTGAATCCACAGGCCCGAAGCTCAATTTTACGAAAATTTTAGTTGAGATTCTGGTGGACGAACGCAATTTTACAAGCCTGGACTGGTGGGCCTGTGGTTAAGCGTGAAGACTGATATGGCCGTGCACAAACAGTGCACAATTAAAACCACCTCCCCTGTGGAACAGAATAAGGAATTTCGGATACGCCCTATATAAACACAAATCATTTCTTTTATATCGATTTTCTTCATTTATATGAATAAGAAATTTGTGGATTCAGCAACCCACCAGCAAAAAAAAGTGCATATATGGTTGCTTAATCTGTTAAAATCTCCTGATGACCATTCTATTTATATTAGGGTCAAAAGTAGTAAATGCATAGTATAAACAAATATGAAATGAACAAAATTATAGCTTGTAAAGGCGCTTGGAACGCAATTTCGGGCTTTTGTTCAGTCACAATAGACCTTATAGCTATTTGGAAATCTGCGCCGATGGACCCGATAATCTGCACCGCTCGTACTCTTGACGTCATACAACAATAACTTTTCCATTGTGGCGTCAGATATTTTCTATTATGACGTCAAAATTTTACGGGAACCTTTGTGGTGTCCAGTAATGGTGGACAAATAGTGATAAGGTGTATTAAAAGCGAACTATCATTTTTCTTCTAGTAAGTCTCGATATATTGTCCTTTAAAAGTAAAACTTTGATGCATTAGTAAAACTAATTACTATATGCTTAATTAATTAACGAATTTTACACCAGCTAATAACTACTAAACCTTTGAAAATACGTACAATTTTATGCAATGTCGTCAGAGGTCCTAATGCATTTATTAGTTGTCTTTAAAATATATTGAAAACAGATCAATGCAGCCATGGTTACCATTATAACAACAAAACAGAAACAAATATCATAAGGACCCAAGAGCTACGGTTTTTTAGACATTAATAACATTGTCAAACCTCCATGGAATTTTAGGAAATTTGGACAGAAGCTTGTTTATGACTAAAATACAGTATCTAGAGTGAAATTTTGAAAAAAAATCATTTTTTCATTTTTCCGTATTTTACTGATAAATGATACAAGGACATCATTCGTAAATATAAATCAACATGCAGACATCTTATACGTTCAGGTATTTCACATCCAATCTTTTTATTTATGGTAATATTCTTTACAAAGCACAAAAATGTCGGCATTCACCTCAAAAGCTAACCAAACCTTCAAACAGACTTATTAAGAAAGAATATAGTTACGATAATGTCGTCAGGTCATTAAAGATGGCATATTTTGGTTTTAACCTCCTATGTGCCATAGGGCCGATTTGGCCGATCTTGTTATGCTTCCTTTGAGTGCCAATGATCGGCCCAGCCCAATTTTTGAATTTGGTTTAACTTCACAAAGAATGTGACGTCACAGCCAAAACTACGCCAAGCGACGCTGTCAAAAATGGCCGCCCCGGGAGATCAGCCAATTTGGTTCCGTGTGTTTCCACCAGAGGCAGAGCGGGACACGCCATTTCACGGAGGTGCATTTGGACCAATCAGTATGCCAGCTAGAGATTCACCTCCTGTTCTGTATTTTTATCTCTATTTTCACTGGATCTGATGAAAGAATTTGTGAAGCAAACAAACAGGTACAGATTTTGAAAGTTTTTTATTCAAAGGTTTTTTTTCTTTACTGTGTGGATGAAAAGAAAAATCTTACTCAGTGTTCAGGGCTTTCTAGTTTCGGAACCAACGGGAAAGTTTTTTTGGGGAAAGACGATCGATTTTTTTTATTATTGAAAAGCTAAACGAAAAAAAAAAAACAACGAAAGGACCGAGTCAATGAAAAAAAAGTTTTTTCACGGGAAGAACGAGTGATATTCCGATAAATTAAATAAAATATGTTTTTTGATGGGTTTTCACTTATATGACAACATAGAATAATTTGTGTCCGCTAAAATTAGGATTCTTCCCGACGGGCATAAAACTTGACAAACGGGAAAGACGGCTTACATTAGGATTCTTTCCTCCGGCCATACATGTAACGTCACAGTACCCAAATTGCAGAGAGTACCTAGTCCAGCCCTGGCCTCAGTGACTTATTTTCAATTTTTATTTTTTTTGTTGTCACTGAGTCCAGCTCGCCCTCCATTACCTTCAATGGTGCAAGCTCCCGGGTAGATTACCCGTGGACGATATAGACAATACCAGAGCGCTCAAGTACGAAAAATGTATAACAAATGGTAAAACTTGTTAAAATAAACAAGTTACATACCTGAAATGCTTATACACTATATGGAAACTCATTTTAACAGGAGGAAATCCCTTGCAGTCGGAGCTGTGGGGATCTTGTTTACATTAGTAACGCTATATTACGGAACGTGACGTTTCTACGCTATAACATAGACGAAACGAAATTCAATGTATCGATAAAGATATTCAACGTTTAAACTCATTAA